ACAAAGAAGATTAATCAGAACTGGCTTTGACAAGCACTGTGGCATTTGGACAAGAACAAACTGGGAGGAGGGTAGAGAGAATAGTGCAACAAGGAATGAATGGAAACCCAAAATCTCTGTAAATGTTTATGAAAATTAATAAAATATAGGGAAAAAAAGGCTGGCTTCATGGGTATGAGGCCTGGGTTGTTTTATTTTAGGCCTGGGCTTTGACGCAGTGTTCCATACTCATGTGCTGTCCATTTCATTTGATGCCCTGCTACTGCTGTTGTGAAATTCTGGCTAAGTCCTAGACAAAGGGCTTGACACTTTCATCTTGCACAGGACGCCACATATCATGGAGTCGGTCCTGATGGCTACACTGTCTGCGAAAACCGGTCACCAACTTTAGATCAAATTTAGATGCTGCTTATATTCATCTAGAATGGCAAGAAACACCTTCACTATCCAAGCCCTTGGGCTCTGTGTCTTTGTTTTTAAAGATATTATTTAAAAAAACTTATTCAAGAAAGGCATGAGAGTGTCTACGGTGGGTATAAATGGTACTTTTTAATGAGCAGAAATATTCAACCCAGCTGCAAGTGTAGCTAAGACAGACCCTTTATGAGCTTACAGAGTTCAGTGAAATCTATTCTTCCCACCTCATACGGATAATTAGTGGGGAGAAAAACAACTTAAGATTGTTCTATTATCTTCTTTCTCCATTGAGAAAAAGGCAGATGTGGATGTTCTAATTATCAGCAAGGCTGCAAGGTGTCCCACTGCAATTCAACTGACTCTTTGCTAATGCATCCCTTTGTTCTGTACAAACCTGACGGGTGATTAGCCTGCAAGGCCTTGCTAGGATTTTCTGCTTCAATATGAAGATTGGTCTTTTCTACCAACAAGAAGCTAGAATGTATGCACACCCATGTTTATTGCAGGTTTGTTCACAATAGCAAGGAGTTGGAAACAACCCAGGTGTCCATCAACAAATGAATGGATAGAGAAGCTGTGGTATATTCACACAATGGAATCCTATGCTGCATTGAAAAACAAAAACCTCATGCAATATTATTAAAAATGGGTGAGCCTGGAGGACATTACGCTGAGTGAAATATCTCCGTAACAAAAGGACAAATACTGCATGGTGCCACTGTTGTAGAATGGGACTGATATCAGGGTTGGGGTAAGACTGAGACAAACTGGATAAATTATATATACTGCATTGAAACAGATGAGGGAGAGAACAATTTAAAAGTAATATACGATAGGGTATTATAGTTATCACAAGAGTTCAGAATTAAGGGTGCATAGTGGAGTGTATCTGGGGCAGTGGGAGGGGTGCGGGGGGATTGTATACCAAAGAAAGAATTTTTCTTTTACTTTTTCAAAGAGAGGAGCAAACTGGGGTGGGCGGAGGAGGGCTGGGCAGGGAGAAAAGTCCAACAATGAATGAATGGAAATCCAAAGTCTCTGTAAATGTTCATTAAAACTATTAAAATAAAATAAAAAAATAAAAAAAAGGAGCTAGATTGTGCTATATTCTAGAGCCGGGATCAGCAAACCACTGTTCTCATACCAACCTCAAGGGCTCAAATCCTGTTTTTGTAAATAAAGTTTTATTGGAACACAGCTGCACTTGTTTGCCTCTACTGGTTTTTTTTTGGGGGTTTTTTTCGGGGGGTAGTGAAAAGGCACATATATTTAAAAATCTTTACATATGTACATGGGGATTCGTTATAAATACACTAGAACAGAAAGGAGACCCCAGCCACCTAGCAGGCCCCTGGGAACAGGGGAGGCAATAATTTAGGGAGGAGGTGCCAGGCAGGCAGGGGTTTTGCATATATTAATGGGGTGTCCCCGAGACTTGACCCTGAGCACCCAGCGTTTCCTGAGTCTCCCGCTCCGAACCACCTGGGCTCACACTTTTCAGGGCTTTGCCTGACCAAGGACATGGCCTCGGGCAGGGCAGAGCCCAGTGCCCTTTGGACCCAGGCCCTTGCCAGTGAGGGTGTCTGGGGTTAGAGGAACGAGGCACCAGAATGTCCTGGGCTCCCCTGGAACTGAGGCAGGGGGCCAGTGAGAGGAAGGCACTGCAGTGGAGGGAGGTGGCCAGGCTCACCCTCCATGGTCAGCAGGCAGTCCTGCTCATCACATCCGTGACACCTCTGGCCCAGACAGCGTCCAGGCCTGGGCTGCCAGACTTTGGCCTACGAGTTGGGGAAGGGCGGCCCGAACTGGATGACACTCTGCCGCTCGGTGGACCCACTGGCCCCCGCAGCAGTGGGGCTGGGGGGCTCTGCAGCTGGCACGGTCTGCAGTGAGCGCAGCATACTGTTGATGGCTGCTTTTGTGATACAATGGCAGAGCTGAGATAGTAAGATAAAGACTTCACAAAAGTCAAACACTGTACTGGCCTCTTTAAAGAAAAAATAAAAAAAAAAAAAAAAAAAGAAAAAAAATCAGCTGACCACTCTGCTAAAGAAAGTGCTTTTCTTTAATGAAACAGAATCTAAGTGCCATTGGCATGGGATCTATTTAGACTCACAGTGCCTGTCTGAGATAGGACTCTGCTGGCACAATGATTGAGTGAATGACTATTAGCTGAAAAGTTGGTGGTTCCAACCTACCCAGAGTCACCTTGGAAGATAGGCCTGGCAATCTTGCTTCTGAGAAGCCAAAGCCTGAAGACCTTGTGGGGCAGTTCTAAAGACACAAGGACCTATTTGCTAGCCTGACAGAGGAGTGGGAGTGTCCCTGTCAACTCGGTAAAGCCACAGGCCCCGCCCACCGTGCCACAAGCCCCGCCCACCATACCACAAACCCCGCCCTCACACCCCAGGCCCTATGCTTACTAGTTGCTGCTGAAGCTTTAGTTCCATCTTCACTCACTTCAATTTTTGCTTTTTGAAAGATGTGGGAGACATGAAGCTTTTCTGATCCTATTCCCAGGAAAGAAAAGAAAAACAAGCATTTGATTTGCAAGCCATCCCTTTGGTTGGGGGAATAACCTCAAAGTCATCCGAATTCTAATTCTCAGACCCCATCAGGACTGACTGGCTGCCTTCTGTCCCACTGCAGCGGGGTGGCCACCGGGGTTCTTGGTGAAGTTCCTAGGTTTTCAATTTAAAGACCAACAGCTGATGTTTCAGACCTAACTCTATTTCAACAAAGGTACCAGGCATGACTTACATGTACTGGCAAAGAGTTCTACTCAGATTCATTTGAATTTATATTATATTAATTATTTCAGATTAATTGACACAGATATGAAAAACATTGATCTAGGGATGGTGCATGCATGCCACTATTTTTACATGGAATGAACAAGTATTTGGGAGCTCAAAAATCTTGATTTTTAAAAAAGGAAAAGATGCTTATATTTGAAAAAAGAAACCCCAGAGATGGATAACTATTTAGGATTCAGTTTCTAGGATATCAGAGACAATACATGTGAGGTCCTTCTGACTGTGTGGGATTGCGTGGATCTCCCATTTGAAATGAAAGGATGAATGGGTTTTGCTCCTTTATAGACCAAGGGGAATAGTATCGCTTGGTAATCTATTAATTTAACCTTGAACATCCTGAGTAAAACAATCTTAATTCTAGCAGAGATCCTGAGACTAGAGCGAGATTCTCATTTGTTGTTCATAGGGTCGCTGTAAGTCAGTCACTCAATGGTACATAAAAACAACAACAATAATAATAACAACAAGCATTCTCATTGTTTCTCTTGGGCAAATTAGAGACTCAGTTCTTAACATTTCCATTTAGTTCATAAACAAGTTTTAAAGGGCACATACTTGTTATTTTGGCAAAATTTGCCTTTGATGGATCAAACATCTCGGTAATGCCAAGCACTTTCAGTGGTTCCTTCAAATCTGTTTGCACGGAAGCTGTGAACCTGGCAATTGGAAGCACAGAAAATGCACCATAAACGATGGGCAGTGATGCACTGAAGAGATGTTCACAAAACTAGGTTTTCCCCCCAAAAAAGTATGATCAGAGAGCACAATCTAAGCTGCCTCTGACATTTAAACACCAAGATTAAGCCACCGTAACTTGATTTGGACCACTATTAGAACCTCTACTCGGAATATTATTGCTTTTTAATTTTTGACTCATGTACTTTTAACTTGTTAGTTAAATTTGTATCTTCTAGGCTGCAACACTTCCGTGATACATCTTCAAGGATATGAACATGTATGGCTAAGCACAAGTGATAACAGTGAATCTAAATTCCAAAATCAATCTCCATAATAGTCTATGTGTTTCCTACTGCCAAAGGGGCCCTTTAGAGTAGTGAGAGAAGATCTTCACCCTGAAACCCACAGCGTCCCTTTTCAGCAGGAAGTAGCTAAGAGAATACGCCATCCCCTTTTCCTTATGACTCAGGGTGAAGTCTCTCTCAGGGAGGAGAGTTAGGGAATGACAAAGGACACACTGACAAAGGAGATTAATCAGAACTGGCTTCAACAAGCACTGTGGCAATTGGACAATTAAAACAGACATTCGGGTGGGGGGGAAGAAGAACGAACTGGGGAGGAGTGTAGAGAAAACAGTCCAACAATGAAGGAATGAAAACCCAAAATCTCTGTAAATGTTCACTAAAACGAATAAAATTTAATAATAATTAAAAAAAAAAAAGATTAAACCACCAAGTAAACCAACAACATCCTGTCTCTAAATAGTGGACAAAAGGGTCAGGTCCACCCACAGCACATGGGCACAGTCTTACCACAGGCATGAGAGCCCCTCCCAAACAAGCTGCAAACCCTCTTCTCTTATCCTTATCAAGAGGCAGAGGGTGCTGACAATTTCCTTCGTCTGGAATATCTACTGGGGTTTACCAGATCCAGCCAAAGAGCCATGAACCTCAATCACAGTGAGTACCACGATCCTTCGGGCAGGGGTGGTCAAGAGAGGTGTAATGTTTCCTGTACTTTACGGTGAGATTCCGAGAGCCTTTCACGGTTAAAGGGAAGGCAAACATTAGGAAGGGGTGACATGGTTATTGCAATTGAGTTTATTAATGTCTTCTGGACAGCTGTGGACGGTCCTAGGCGGGTGGTGGTCTCACCATTAATTGCTAACAGTTTAGAACTACATCCACCAGGTGCTCTGCCGGGGAAGGAGGGGCAATCTCCTCCTGTACCAGTCAGATCTGATTTGACGGTACACGCACACTAAAATAATAATAAAAAAAAAATAAAAAAAATAAAGAACTACTTAAGTGCGTCAGTTATTCAGTCTTTTGGAAGCCGTTTTATCAGGTTACACATCATGCAGATGAACACAGCAGACTCTCATAACAGATGGGCTTGAAGGATGACTACCTGTTCTCCGCACACCAGGGTCTGCAATACTACTGGTTTGTACTTGTACACGTAGTGTTGCCTGTTTGAAGGCTTGTTGTACAATGAAATGATCTTGTGAGGATTAGTAATACTTTTTGTGACTGTGTAGTTCATGATGGCATAAATTGTTGATGTGCTTGGCTGCTGAAAGGTTAGAGGATTGAGTCTCCTCGGAGACCCTTTGACAGAAAAGCCTTGTGCCCTGCTTCTGAACGGTCCCAGCCACTGAAACTCCCTGGGCGACCGGGGTACTTACTTGGGCAGGACCACCTGCACCCTCTTGGGCACCATCAGGCTCATCCAGCTGTCGATGGTCTTGGTGCTGATGTGGGGGATGATGGCCGACAGGGGCGTGGCGCTCTCGGTTGGCAGGGCGATCAGCATGTTGATGCTTTCCCCGTGGTAGGGCAGCTCGATGAAGTTGTACCACAAACCATTGGGGGTGCTTGTGGACCCTAGAGAAAGCAGAGACAGGGTCATTGCCTCCTGGGTGACCCCCAAAAGCAGCACAAGGAGCTGCATGCGGTTCATCAGAGAGTGGCAGGGGGGTGAGAGGAACCCAGACCGAAAGCCTGCCTTTTCCTGAAACAGCCGGCTCTGGAGGACAAAGAGAAAAAGAATTTTTCCTTCCTTATCCAGCAAAGAGTTCTATTTCTTCAGTCTAGACATTCTCATAACAGTAAGCCCTTGGGTATCACTAAAATCAAATGAATTCTGTTGAGCAGATTTTAAGTCGTTAATAAGGCTCCTACCTTCTCTCAGTATCATTCCTTCAGATGAGCCTGCTTGTGTATTTGAGTGAGGGAGATGGGGGCGGGGGAGTCAACAGCAGACACCGCTGTTTAAAGGAGCTCTGATGATGTAATGTGTTACACGGTAAGTGACAAACCCAAAGGACAGCGGTTCGACTCCACCAGCGGCTCCATGGGAGAAAGTTGAGCAGCTTCCTCTTAAAAAGACTTAGTGCCCGCACCCCCCAAAAAGAGTAGTGCCCTAAAAACCCGGTGGAGGGTCATCATGAGTCACAGCTGACTGGACAGCAACAGGTTTTCGGCCACTGATTAGGGTCCACTTGGTGCTGGGCCTCAACCAACTTCGTTGACACGCTGAGAGCCCACAGCACCTGTGAGGTAGTCATAAACGGCACCGTTTTACAGACGAGGAGCCCACAACATGCAGAAATCAGTAAACTGTCAAAGTCAGAAAGCAAGGACTTGAAATCTGTTATGTTTAATGGGAAAGAGAACAAACAGGTCTGTCCTGGGGAGGGTGAAACCAGTTTCCTCTGAGGAGGTAAGGCTTTTGAAGCTCCATCTCACATACTTTGGACATGATGCCTGGAGGGACCAGTCCTTGGAGAAGGACATCATGCTTGGAAGCGCAGAAGGTCAGCACAGAAGAGGAAGACCTTGGATGAGATGGACTGTGCAGTGACTGGGGCAATGGAGGCAGGTGTCGCAGAGACAGTGAGCTGGCTGAGGACAGGGCAGGGTTCAGAGTTGCTGTTCTTAGGATTGCTATAAGTTGCCCAACAACGTCAAATATTATCTTCCTCTCACACTTCAGTATCTGACTATACCCATTCTAACCCTGACCTGCAGTGACCCCAAGGACAACAGATCAAAACTCTGCCTAATCTTGATCTGTCTACATCGTCTGCTCTCCTGAAGCACGCTGCTGAAGTCACGGTGTCTGTCCAGCCCCTTGAAGGGCCTCCTCTCCTTCAATGACTTCCCCCACTGTGAGTGTGATGTCCTTCTGCAGGTACTGAGCCCTCCTGACCACATGGACAGGCCGTGAGAGACAAAGCCTCCCCATACTCGTCTCCAAGAGCACGCTGGCTACTTTTCTACAACACTTATCTGTGTGTCCTTCTATTCCATGTAAAAAAATCTCAAGGCAGGTATTTAAAATATTTAAACTGAGTAGCCCTGAGCGCTGACCCATGAGAGTGTACAAGTGCCCTGGCAGAAGGGCATCAGTGGGAAGCCCCTTGAGGGGGACAGAGAGGCCAGTGTCATGCTGACAGTGCTCTGCCCGGTGTGCTTACGGACCCATGCGTACTTCGCATCAGACACCAAAGAGCCGAGACAGTCGGCGAGGGGAAACCAGCCCGACTTTGGGGCAGATTTCAGAAACGTTTCCTCCAACACTTCAAACTCATGAGACAAGAACTCTGTGATCTTGCTGAAGTTACCTGACCTCCTGGTGCTTCCCTGTGCACAGAATGGGCACGTCGGGGATATTAAAAGTGTGTACCTCATAGGGCGAATGTATGATTAAATGAGAGGGAAATATCTGAAGCGCTCAGAATAGTATCTGGTCCACAGTGGGGGCCCCCCCAAAGTACTGATTCTCTCCTCCTCTTCCTCTACATCCCCCAAAGGTCACCACGTGGGAAGCGACCAGGAGAGCACATCTTTCACTGAAGACAAGGGATCTTCTTTCCTGTCACTATTCTTTCCTTTGAGGATAATGTCTGTCAGTCATTTGGAAAGAGAACTGCACGGGGCCTCCAGAGAGTGGGGAGGGAGGAAGAGAAGAGCCAGGGGGAGAAAGAGACTTTCTTTGCTTTTGTTCTATAACAAAGACTGTCAGCCATACGATACGATAAAAATAGCGAGGCCGTTAGAACATCTGACAGTGCAGAATGAGAGCAGAGTTTCCGCTAAAGGAAGACGCATCCGGGAGACGCTCGGCGTGCTCTGAGGCTGGTCAGTGGCCCGTGCGACTGGCTGCCTCCGCTGGGGACACCTGCGAATGCTCCCTTATCCTGGGCTCTGTCCTGGGATTACCTGAGAATCGGAGTGAGGAAGCCCCATCTCCACTTTAACCCTGTGTAATAAGATGGTCTTCGCAGAAACAGAAAGATCAATGGGAAGGTAAGGGGGGAAAACCAACCCCAGAGGCTTCCTAAGGTGCTGTTTTTTAAAGACTTGGCCATCTGCTCCCGTCCAGGCTCCAGACTAGGAAACCCTGCAGGGCAGTTCTGCTTGGTCACATGGGAACGCGGCTGAGTGGAGACGAACATGACAGTACATGCCACCGCCACCAAGTCCTCAGAGACGAACATGACAAGTACATGCCACCGCCACCAAGTCCTCAAAGATGTGGTTAAGTTTCTGGTCTGCTAGAGGTAATGAACTCTGAAATCAGGGAAGGAGTTCATCCATGCCTGCTCCAGGGCTCCAGAGAAAAGCATGGAGGTCCTTGGCTGCTGTTAGACACACTTCCTGTTCTGATAAAGGATCAGGGCTACGAGCTGTGAACACAGTGTGCAGGGCGAGTGGGGTAACTTCCACCTGCACCATGTCGTCCAGCCCCCTCTGGCCCTACCTTAGCTGACTACTGCCCTTCTCCTGGAAGAATGAATGCTAACCACTAGCCACTTCGCAGGCCAGCACTCACACCTGCTTGGGGACTGGTCAAATGGCCCCACCTTTGTTTCTGGTCGTGCACTGGCATTCTCCCCGGCCAGCTGCTCACTTGCCTGGTTCTCCCTGAAGACCAGAGAGGGTGGGAGATGAAAGCACACCCGGCTCGTGGACCACCTGGCCCCTCTCGTAAAGAGCACAGGACACCTGCATTTAAATCCTGGCCGTGGGGTACATGAACTCTGGAGCCTGCTGCCATTTTCTTTTTTTTTTTTTGTTAACAAATGATCCTTTATTGAAATATTTTCATCTGTAGTCCTTAGCTGGCTGGGCATTCCAAGGCACCACTGCTGATGTCTCCTATGATGTCATGAGGGTGGCGGTCATCAACAACATTGTGGCCCACAGACTGGGCAGTTCCCAGGATCTCGTCAACAGCTACAGAGAGTTCTCTGGCTAAAGACTGGTGTCGCATCTGCTGGGCAATGCCAACAATCTCATCAAAAGTGATACTTCCTCTGTGCTTACTATTTTTCTGCTTCTTTCTGTCTCTGGGTGATTCCTGTAGGGCTTTGATGGATCAGGGCGGAGGCAGAAGGCACTACTTCAATCTGGGCCTGTCTGTTCTGAATGGTCAGTTTCACAATACTCCCGAGTCTCTTTCAGTAACTTTGTGGCCTCGGCAATGTCATCACCGACCTTTTTTGGAGACAGACCCAAAAGGCCGATCTTAGGGGCTAGAGTGGATGTGGCACCGACTTCCCCACTGATATACCGCAGGTACATGACGTTAATCTCGCTGGAGTTGAACTTGAGTGGCACAGCGGAGATGGCTGGTGTCGGATGTACCCCGAAGCAGGACGACTGAAGAAAGTCGCACTGAGGCCTCCTCCAAGCCGAAAGCCGAAAGTTTCTTAACTTACGTCTCTAAAGTGGGATGATGACAGTGTCTTTCTTCAGGGTTGCCATGAAAATTAAATGAGATGATACATGAGATTTTTGCCTTGTATTTAAAAAGGCTTTTGGGCCCTCGGGCCTGTTTTTTGTGCATCTCCCAAATAAAACAGGCTTGGAACAGGAGTGGCATCCACTTAAGGGAATTTAAAAAAAAGCTTGCGTCCAGAAACTATGAACTTTGAGAAAAGATGAAAGTTTTGCAGTCACGACTTTCATTCATAGGGTCATTATCGGTTGCCTATGACTCTACAGCACTTAACAACAACAACAACAAAACAACAACATATGCAAAGGGTTTGGCACGTAACATGTTTATCTATTGATGCAGGAAGCTCTGGGAAAAGCATTGATTCTCATGTAGCAGACACATTATTATTAGTCTCTGCCTTTCTATCAAAGAAATGACACAGCTCCGGTGCAGGAGGCATTGGAGATTGAAGGGGCATGCAGGGTCCCTTCTCTTCCTGTCCTTTAAGAAGACTTGGCCTAGCTCTCTGTTCTTGAACGGGAGGAGTGGTGTCTACTTAGACTTGTTAACGTCGACTGAGTGGTCTTTCATGAGGGTAAATTCTCACATCAATAAAGACGTGAAGCAGGGCCAGTCAAGGAGCTGTGGGGCTTACTGGGTCAAAGGTTGGGCTGCTAAAGAAAGGCTGGTGGTTTGAACTAGCAGCCTCTCAGGGAGAGGAAGTTGAGGTAATTACTTTGTCCTCCAGAGTTGGGAGAGATTTGAAGGCAGGTCCATTCATTGTAAAAAGCAGCAGAGACGGAAGGAGGAAAGAAGTGTTTTCTCATAAGCGAAGGGTGTGCAACAAAACCTTTTCTAAAGAATCAAGGCAAAACCTAAAATCAAATGTGAGGTGAGTTGGAAGTCACAGCCTTGATGGAGCCGCAAGGGCAGCACAGCCAGGGCGAGACAGAGGCCAGGTTATGGAAACGTAGACTGACTCCAGACAAAAGTCACTCATCAAGCCACTGTCCTCAAGTCAGGACTCACTCACAGCCGATCCTCCAGGCAGTCTTCTGAGGAGATTGCCCATCCTTCTCCTGTGGATTTAAACCAAACTTACACACACCTAGTGTGGGGGCACTGAGTCAGAACTGACTTAAAGTAAACAGCAAAACAGCCACAGTGAGTGACTACTTGCTGGATGTTGTTTGGTGCTGCTGCGGTGATCCAGGCTCCGAACAACCTCAGGTGACAGGTAGATATGCACACGGCGCTTTCGAGGCTGTATTCTTCACAGAACCAGGTTATCAGGCTCTTCTTGAGGCTGTAATCTTCGCAGGAGCAGGTCACCAAGCTCTTCTCCCCTGGAGGTGCCAGGGGAATGCTAGCGGCCAACTTTTTAGGTTAACAGCCAAACACGTAAATATTTCAGCCCAAGTCTCTTCTTTACTTTTTAGGATGGGATTAGGGAGCCACAGTGGCCTAGGGGTAAGGAACGGCACTGTGAAACCAAAGGCACGTGCTTTGAATCCACCAGCTGCTCCACAGGACAAAGACAGGCAATCGCCTCCCATTTGATTCACAGCCTCTGAAAACCTTCCAGTGGCTCTGACTCGATGCCACACAACAAGGGTCTGTGATTATTCTCAGAGTGTGAATTCTTCTGACTGGTCAAGAGTCTGTTAGAACAATGTTCCCGCCACCAGAAATTCTCAGGGGTGTTCCCAATGTAAGAGTTCCAGCTGAGACCGGACATGCCTTACAATTTTTGCTAGTTTGATAAGAGAAAAATAAATTTAAATGATATTTTATCTTGACAATAACAATAAGTCGCAAATGCAACAAATTTCTTATTTTGTGAATTACTCTTTCCCCCTTTATAATCTAAAAGCTTACTTGCTAACTATTAATATACAATCTTTTCATATAATACAAAGACTTACCATGAACATTTGTGAAAACTATACTTCCTCCCAACACCTTTTATTTTTAGTTAAAGTCACAGAAGTAAAGAAGGATTAATGGAATCCAGAATTATAGATCTGGAAGTAGGGAGGTGCTGTTGCATTGTGGGTACTGAAATTATTGCCACGAGACAAAATATATGCATGAATGGTTGCGTGAAAAATTAACTTGCTATGTAAGCTTTTAAATAGCAATAATAAAAGAAACAAAGTACTAAATGCAGCTTTCTTCCCGGGCCTAAGCTCCAGCACTTGGGGGTCTTTCTACCATCAGCACATCCTAGAATCAGCCCACCCCGTGCCCCGACTCACCGCAGCGGAACAAGGAGAGCTGGGCCAGCATGGGCACCAGGTAGGATTTCCCATCCGAGGCCACAAACCCGCGCTTCTTGGTGTTCTCAGGTTGAAAGCACAATTTCCACAAACCCTTGAAGTAGATGGCATTGACGAGGACCAGCCTGGTGAGCGGGTTGCTGAGGAGGTCGCGGGAGATCAGGTTGTCGATCATACCTGCCGAGTCAAGAACAGAGAAGGAAGAGACCTCAGGGCAGGTGAGCGATGCGAGGGCAAAAGGCACCTGCTGGGCAGGTCAAATGAAACATGAAAGGAGGGCTAAAAAGAAGTCCTATAAAAAAACCCCAACAAACAAAACCCCTGCAAGAAAGAGTGTTTATATTTCCTACTTTCTTTCCTCTGCTGAAAAAAAAAATAAATAAAGCTGAAAAGAAGTTAATCTGAGATCTGGAAAAGACTTCAGCCATTCTCTGGGCAAGGGCTGCCACGCTTCTCACTGACAATCTCTTTTCTAGCTGATTTCCAGTAAACCCCTTTCAGAAAATGACTTTTCATCAAAATCGGTGGTACTGAACCCTCTTTTACTGCTGCAGAGCCGGTTCTGACTGACCATGACCCTCTAGTGAGTTTCTGAGTCTATGAATCGCCATAGGAGGAGACTGCCCACACTTCTCACGAGCACAGCAGTTTCTAGTAGATTTGAGCCGACAGAGGCATCAGTCTACGGGCTAACAGTGCAATGGGCTGCAGAATATGCCATCAGAGCTCCTTGATACTTACTTAATTTTCCTGCTTTTTATGATAATCTATATGTATGATGGGCCAGAAAGCTGCCTGCAACTCATCGGCACTTAACAATAATAACATCAACATAGAGAGAGAGATCAGCTGGCCCAGTGGACAGAAAGCGATGCTACCAAGCCAAAGGTGGGTGACTTTTAATCCGCGGCCCTCGGGCCTGTCTTTCATTGTTTTTGTTCAGACATTCCTCTAGGTCGTATAGCCATGATGTACAAGTTGCTGTACAGCGGTCACTTGTGGTTGCTGTGAGGCTGAACATTGTGACACTGATGTGTCAAATGCATTAATGGCTGGTTACTCAATGCAGACAGTGTGGACTGGAGCTCCCCGATTAAAACAAGCTTGGAAGGAGGAGTGGCATCTACTTCCATAATAGCTTGCCTCCGGAAACCCTATGAACCTGGAGAGAGGACAAAAGACACACAAGCGTTGAGGACTCTCCTTCACAGGGTCGCTATGAGTCACCTGTGACTCGACGGCACTGAACAACAACAACATGGCCTATGCGATGTTATCAAGGATAAATGCTCCATTTCCATGAAGATTTCAGAAATGCCAAGGATTGCTTGGCGATCCCTGACTTCCACAGACCTTCCTGTTTAACAGAGAAGAGCTGAAACTGAAAATCTATGTCTAAATTTCTGGGTCCAGCATCGACTGCCGAGTTTAAGAAAACGAGGTCTCTCCTGGAAGAACTTTCAATGTGGAAGGGAAAGGCTCATCACGGGCTGCCCATCTAGTTTCAGGAAGCTCTTTCGTGGCCACTGAGACCCTTTGAGAAGTGCTACCGCTGGATGAAGGTTTGGTTTTTAGTTAGGTTCCTCCTGTGTTGCATGGTCCTTATTAAGGAGCCCAGGTGGTGGTGGTGCAATGGTGAAGCTCTTGGCTGCTAACTGAACGTCAGTGATTTAAAGCCACCAGTGGGTCAACTGAATCCAACCAACTGTGCATGATAATGGGCTGTGTGGTCTTGGATGAGTCAGTGGTACATATGTTATATTTGACCAGTGATCAGGACGGTCTAAGAAGGTAGCTCAGCATGCTTTTGGTCCAAGTACATAGAAAAAGTAATACATGATATAATAATACATTAGAGAGTGAGAGTAAAAGAATTCTTTTAAATTATGTATTATTATCGTTGTTGTTGTTATGTGCCATCGAGTTGCCTCTGACTCATCATGACCCTTTGTACAACAGCTCTGAAGCCTGCTTTGTCCTGAGCCAGTCTCACTGACTCTGACACACCTACCCTCATTGCCTTAGTTACTATATCAGTCCATCTTATCCAGGGTCTTTTATCTCCTGAGCTATCCTTCCACCCTTCCAAGCATGATGTCTTTCTTCCAGGATCGGTCCCTCCTAGACACTTGTCCAAAGTATGTGAGATGGAGCATCCAAATCCTAACCTCCAAGGAGAAACTTAGTTACACTCTCACCAAGACCTATTTGTTTTCTTGGTTATTCATGGTATCTTCATGACTTTTTTCTAACACCACAAGTCAAAGGCATTGATTCTTCTGTTTTCCTTAGTCTTTGTTCAGCTTTCTGAAGCATAGCAAGTAACTGTGAAGACCATGGCTTGGATCAGGCACACCTTTGTCTCTAGACTGACATCACTGCTTTTCAGTACTCTGGAGAGGTTCCTGACAGCAGATTTACGTAATGCAATTCATCTTTTGATTTCCTGACTGCTGGTACCAAAAGTCTTGACTGTGGAGCCAATCAAGCTGTAATTGTTAACAACCTCAATCTCTTCTCCATCCATCATGGTGCTGCCAACTCACCCAGTGGTGAGAATCTTTGTCTTCTTGATGTTGAGCTTCAATCCATATCGAAGACTACAGTCCTTGACCTTCTGCAGTAAGTGCTTCATGTCCTCCTCTGTTTCAGCATATATTAGTAATATACTTTACTGTGAAGCCAACTGCTTCTGGTGAAGAAAAAAAGTCTTTTATTCAGCAGAAAATTAGGAGAGCTTTAAGTCCTTTTGGTGGAAGCACAAGATTTTGATACACCATCAAGTAAAGCTTCAACAGGTCAGGGTGAACACACTGAGTAAAGACAGCTTCATCACGGCTTGGTGGTTTATACAAGAGAGCATCCACATTACCCAAGTCCTCACGGTCATTGCCATGTTCGAGCCCACTGTTGCAGCCACTGTGCCAACTGTTTTCATTGACAGTCTTTTCTTCACCGACATTCTTCAAGCATGATGTTCTTTTTCAGGCATTGGTCCCTCCAGATAACACATTCAAAGTCTGGGGGACAAAGTCTCCTTGCCTCAAAGGAGCATTCTGACGGCACTCCTCAAACAGATTTGCTCATTCTTTTGTTAGCCCCCAGGGAAAGTCACCAATAACAGAATTCAAAGCCATCAGTTCAGCTTCAGTGTTCCTTATTCACGGACCAGCTTCTGCATGCACTATGGTGGTGGTGGTGTGTACCATCGAGTTGGAACCGACCCGTAGCTGATCCTCCAGCGGGTTTTCAGACGCAGTTAATCACATGGGAGGAGGGAGGAGGGAGGAGACTGGCCATCTTTCTCCCACGGAGAGCTGGTGGACTTGAATGCCTTTGAGATTGCAGTGCAGCTTCTTGCCATCAGAGCTCCCTTCAGGTAAAGGAAAATACTGTAGGTTGGGTCAGAGAGACCTTTGGTCTCAGGATCAGCCTTGAAAAGTCTTTGGCAGCAGGCATTCCCATTGTAACACGTCCTTTGACTTCTTAACTGCTGCTTCCATGGGTGTCGATGAGATCCTGAAAAGATCCTAAAAAGCCTCAATCTTTTCTCCATTTTCCACAATGTTGCTTAATGGTCTAGTTGTGATTTTTTTGTTTAGGAAATTTTGGGAGAGAAATTATAAACGTTAAAAAATTCATCTCTATAGGCATTGCCTTCCAAATGATGTCCTTATCTTTCCCAATTTTTTAAAATGCTAGACTCAAAACAATTTTTGACTCTTAGAGACGTACCACGCGGAAATGAGTGGTATACACTTGCCAGAGGCCCAGAGGCTTCCACCATCACTTTTACAAAGACGACACCCAAATTCATGGCCCAAATCTCCTCCCGCCACATTTTTTAACCGCTTTTTCCTATTTTTCTGACTGTTCCAAACACTGGGTTCTACAGAACACCCTGTGCTCCCCACCACGCCCCGAGCATCCCTGTCCATCCATCACGGGCTTCTCCAATGGGTCTCAAACGGTCATGTATGTAAAGACGGTGCTGGGTAGTTGAAGGACACACGAAGGGGACGTGCTTTCATGCAAATTCCTAGGCTCAACTCTTGGAGTACAGGGATCTGGATTCTATTTTAGCTCTTGTGGATTTGTTTTTTGGTGGTTTATTTTTTTCTCTTTTCTTGCTGTGTGCCATCAAATCAGATCTGACTGGCACAAGAGGAGGCTATCCCTCCTTCTCCAGTGGAGCATCTGGTGGATTCAAACTGTGCACCTTTGGGATTGCAGCACAGCTTCTTGCCACTAGGCCACCACAGCTCCCTTTGGGATCTGGATTCTAAACATAAACCCAGGTAAGCTTGCCTCCGGAAACCCTATGAACCTGGAGAGAGGATGAAAGCACCCAAGCGTCTAGGACTCTCCTTCATAGGGTCGCTATGAGTCGCCTGCGACTCGACGGCACTTAACAACAACAACAAGTCTACTGGAGGTATGTCACAAGTCACATTTGAGAAACATCCCAAAAGGCCAATCCTCCAAAAATCTTGTCTCTTGATTCTTTCTCCCTGGTTTGCCTTTGTGGCATTAAGTAGTCTTTCTATGAAAAAAAAAAAAAAGATTCTGAAGTCTATCTTTCAATTCTTAACTTTCCTGTGTCACATGAACACCGACCTTTCTCCCTGAATGTTGCTACCTAGATGTCTAGCTTACAAACCCAGAGATTTAAACACTGACATTAGCCATTTCCTGTGAAGAGGTGCAGGCCATCAGGTAATCATTATGGGGAGCTGTAAGAGCTATGGTGCGGTCACTGACATCCAGACAGAGGGTACAAAGGCGTACTCCTGTCCCAGGGGACAGTTACAGCCTCGAGATGGCAGAAACAAGGCAGGGCAAGTAAGGGGGCAGCGGACCCAGAGTCGTACAGGAAGAGAAGGGCATTCCACACGTGGGGGACAGCAGATGCAAAAGCAGAAGGGAAAGAGCAGAAAGATCTTTAAGAAAGGCCAGAGCGAGGACACAGGGGCAGAACACAGCAGGAAAGACCACCCGCATCTTGTGCTACTGTCTGTGCTCTGGGGGGTAAGACGCCCCCAGGACTACTCTAAGTACGGGCAGCATCCAAGGAGCATGGAGGAGACCAGCTGGGAGAGCCCATCAGGAAAGAAAAGGACAGAGGACCCCTGGGGTCTGTGGAGGGGCCACTGGACTTAAGATGCCAGCACAAACCTCAGTGACTAAGGCACACGCCCATTCACAAAGCATGAACTCGGGTCTGGGACCACTCACCCCTGGTCTCGTTTTTTACCCACAGGTTGATGGAGTCACAGGCGGAGGCTGGATTCTCAAAGCTCATGTTGCGGACTTCACACTGGAACACATCCTTGTTCTTCGTGACAAAGGGCTCTTCCATTTTAAAGCCGTTCTTAACGAATACGCCGTTAGCCACGGTCACAACATCCTTGTTCTTCTTGGAGACGATGGCTTTGTTGATCTTCTTCAACACTTTGCTGACTCCTGAAGGAGAAGTCAGAAAAAGCAGCAATGTGATCACAAGATTGGGAAGCGCCTCCCCTCTAAAGTCTAAAACCAGCAGCAACAGCAACGCAAGTCTGTTGGCATTGAAGTGATTCTGGCTCATGGTGACCCAGGTGGTACAGAGGAGATCTGCTCGACAGGATTTTCTGGACGCCGGTGGCCTAGTCTACACGTTGTAGTGCTGCCAATCTAACGAGGGCGGTTCGAATCCATGAGGGGCTCCAAGGGAGCAAGACAGAGACTCTCTTCCCAGATAACGCACAGCCTTGGAAATACAATGCAGGGTTGTCTATGAATCTGTTCTGACTGATGTCAGTCAGTGAGCGAGTTAATGACTCTTTAAGGGAGCAAACAGCAAGGTCTGTCCTCCGCAGGACTGAGTGAACTGAGTGGGCTTACAGCATCGGCCTTTATGAGTTAGCAGACAATCATAAACGGTCTGCACCACCTTCCACTAAAAACAAAAACAAAAACAAACAACCCTAAAACCCAAACTTCACGATCATCAAGCTGATTCCAACTCACAGCATCAGGGTTTGTGGCTATCAGTCTTGACAGGAGGAAACTTCCCGTCTCTCTCCCTTTTGGACCTGCTGGTGGATTCACACCGCTGAAGACATATATGGACTCGTGGTTAGCAGAACTACACACTACGTGCTATGCCATCCTTCAGTATTTTATGGCAATTAAGAAGTATAAACTGGAAGCAGGAGTGGCACCCACTTCCTAAAAAACATGCCTCCAGAAATGCTATTAACTTTGATAAATGTTTATAGTTGTAGAGGGGCTTCAGGCCTTCTGTTCATAGGGTCGCTATGAGTCGTGCTCGACTCAAAGGCAATCAACAACAACAACAACGAGTATAAACAAGATAAATTGGAATATGCCCACTGCTGTTGACTCAGTTCACGCTCCTGGCTTACAGGACCGAAAGGAGCCGCCTTTCAGGGTTTTCAAGGCTGTAAATCTTAACAGGAGCAGACCGCTCCACTTTTCTCCCCTGGGGAGCCTGGTAAATTCAAACCACTGACTTTCTGATTAACAGTCCAACATCACATCCATTGCCCCAGCAGGGCTCATTAAATTTGAATAAAAGACTAAGTCTTTTACTACTTCCTCAATGGCTCTCTCTTTAAAAAGAAAAAAGAAAACCCAGGCCTGTCTCAACATCCTCCCCGCCTAGGTCACTTCCCCCTGGCGGCCACTCTGAAGCGTCCAGTCATTATAAGAGCTGGAGTGCTTAACTATCACGCCACCCAAGGACGGATGAGTGGCCCACCAATCCCTCAGTCCCTCTGTCCACAGTTCCTTCCACCTGTCTTCCCTCCATCCTAATCTTAAGCACTCTTTCCTTTTTTGTCAGAGATTTAAGAAAGAAATCCTAGGGGAGCTCTGGTGGCCTAGTGGCAAGAAGCTGCACTACAATCCCAGAGACGCATGGTTCAAATCCACCAGATGCTCTGCTGGGAAAGGAGGGGCAATCTCCTCCTGTACCAGTCAGATCTGATCTGACGGTACACAGACACATATACACAAAATAATAAAAATTTTAAAAAAAAAGAAAGAAATCCTTTCTATTTTGGTAAGAAAAAAAGCATCATTAGTGAGCGATTGGTCACTGAGTCAGAACTGACCCTCCTGTGGGTTTTCAGAAGCTGTAAACGGAATGGGAAGAGAATGCCTATCTTTCTGCCAAGGAGTAGCCGGTGGATTTGAACACCCTGCCTTTCGGTTGACAATATAATTCCTTATTCCCTGGGATAGCAGCTCTCCCTAAAAAAAGCATTAAGACTATTAGGAAAACGTCATGTGTCACCATGAACAATATGATTTTTAAGTGATATCAAACTCAAAAAAGCAAGGAGGTGAAGGTTATGGTAATGTAAGCTTTATTTTACCCTTGCCATTCAGACATGCTCTGTTTGGCTTTAGAGCATGATGGAAGGGAGAACAAGGGAAAATAAACCATAAAAAGGAAATGTGTTTCCACAGAGTTTGAGTTACAGCTCCTCCTTGAGCTCTGGGGTGGTTTCATGATGACACTGACCCTGATGGGGTCTCCTGAAGACCCCACCTCCAGAATTCCTGAGAAGAGCAGGCGTGGCTTTTCATGGTCCACACGCGGGGAAGGTATAAACCTTAACCGCTAACCTGAGTCCATTCTCACGGGGCGGCGTCATGGGCTACAGATTGGACCTCAGCCCGTGGGGCTCTCTGCTCTGGGCTACCATCTCCGTCCTCATTCTCCATTAACATACACTCACTGCCTCCTAAGGCTCCAGTCCAATCTTTTGCATTGTTATTGTTAATTTGATCTTATAGAGAAAGATTCTGAAACAGCACACTGTTCAAGGCAAATCATCTTTACTAGTTTAAACTAAACTCAGGTGCTAAGTAGACTTCAGGGGATGTTATTTTTAAAATTTAATATTTTATTTTATTATTTTTTTTGGTGTGTGTACCAACAAATCAGATCTGACTGGTACAGGAAGAGATTGTCCCTCCTTCTCCAGCAGAGTACCTGGTGGATTGGAACCACACGCCTCTGGGATTGAAGGAGATTTTTTTTTTTTAAAAAAAGAGTTATCGAATCCACCAGAAGCTCTGCTGGAGAAGGAGGGGCAACCTTTTCCTAATGTGATTTGACAGTACACACACAAAAAATAAAAATAAAAAAATTTAAAAAAATACTAAAAAAAGATTTAAATGTTACAAGGCAGTCTTTTTTTTTCTAAACTTCCCTATCTAAAAGCTTAAATTTCAAATTGCCTTTGATCTAAGTTAACAAGGCAGTCTTTAAATCAGAGGTTTATCCAGTTTCCAAGGATCCTATGACTGCATTCCATGACTATTTGAAATTCTGTTCCAAATGTCCCTCCTTCGGATCAGGAATCTCATCTTTAAAGGAACTGTTAAAAAATGGTCCCGGCTATCCTCTTCATGCGGAAGGATGGGCAATCTCCTCCTGTGTGGTTTCCTGCCTCTGGAAACCCACTGCAGGGTCAGCTATGGGTCAGTTCTGACTCAGAGGCGTAACACTCCCGCCATCTTTATGCAGCAGATCACCCAGGCCTGTCTTTCATGATGCCACTGGGTGGGTTTGAACTGTCAACCTTTTGGTTATCAAGAGCAACTGCACCACCCCAGGATCTGGGGACAGTGCAGGGCTCGGTAATTCCCTCTCCACGCCTACACTATGAGGACAGACATAGTGAGGGTCCCGAGTCTTGGTTTACATGGAAGGAAAGCAACCACAGCTCTCAGAGGCTAAAAACCACGTCTGAGTCCAGATCGCGTCAGCCGCATGGCCACCTCCATACGCCACAGAGTCCTGCAGGACACGCGGGCAGATCTCCTGCCACTGACCAGCTTCCTTCCTTCCTCCGCGAAGCTTTCCTACTGTGAGTTCTTGCAGGCTGAGCCCAGACTAGCCTGAGACCCAGACTAGATCATCCAGACTCCAGCAAACTGAGGTTCCCATTCTACAAAGTCGCTGGCAGCTTAATGTGGAGAAAGAATAGGTGGTGGTGGTGGGGGGATGGGACATCACCAAGGGGCCACTGAGAATTAACGTGGCTCAGTATCAGAATAAACAGCAGAAAGTCAGTTGCTATTTTGGAACTGCACTGGCCGATGAAGCTTGGATCACACAAGGAATATATATATATATTTTTAAACATTAGCAGTCATAAATCACCAAGGGTTTTTTTTTAACTTCCAAGCAAGGAGTGGGATAGTATGCTCCAGGTTTCCAACTGGTAAGTCTACCACAAACTCCCTCAAAAGTCCTATGTCACCTAGATAGGGAGGGGCTGCCGGGTCGCCTCTTATGCTGAGAACACAATGAAGTGGCCCGACATTTCTTCATACCAGTGCATCGACCTTAAGGTTCTCAGAACTATGTCTAGCAGAAGTGGAAGAATACAGCTAGGTAAATATCCTCTTTAAGGAAAAAAAGAAAATAAAACAACAATTACCCAAGGCTGACATGAACCAAGTGACACGCCCAGTGTGATGGTTAATGTGACGTGTCAACGTGGCCAGACCATGATTCCCCATAGTTTGGCTAAGATAACTTGGTAGCATAGTTATTAAGCACTCAGTTGTTAATTGAAAGGTCAGTGGTTCAAGCCCACCAGCTTCTCCACTGGAGGACAATGTGGTAATCTTTCAACTGATCACAGCCCTGGAGCCTCTCCAGGGCGTCTCCGCTGGGACAGTGTGAGTTACAAGGGACTCAGTGGCAAGGGTGTGGGTCAGCTTTGCTGGTTACGCTTTCATCATGTACTGTGGTCTTTTAACGTCATCTGCAATGTGATCCCCTTTCATGATGTCATCTGATGTAATAAGCCCAGTCAGTCGGAAAGGAGTTTCCTCGTGGGCCTGTCCTGCCTCCAGAGTATAACTAGCCAAGTTCATGTCCTCTCCATCCTGCGCATTTCCCGTTGTCTGACCTGCAGATTTTGGATTTACCAGCATCCCCAATGCCATGAGCCGGTCAGCAGAGTCCAGTCTGCTGTCTGACTGAGGGATTTGTAACATGTCACCCCTACAACAGTGGGAGGCATCTTCTCACTTCTAAGACCTCTAGGGCAGGCAGGCTCTGAACCCGAGCTGGCATCAGGGAACCCTCTCCCAGCCTGCTTGGCTTCTTTGGTTGTAATCTATGACCAGGTTGTGAGCCCCCCTGTGATGCCT